TTGGCATTTTTGTGGCGAATCCAGGCATTTCTCTATGCAATAAGCTGAAGTTTTTTGATAAAAACAAAATTTAAAAATATTTCACGAATTTTCGCAGCATTAACATTAGATGAAAAAACTTATGTTTTTGGTCAGTAATTGCCTTAATTGCCCTCTTGGATTGATGATGTTGAGTCAGTTGATGGCACGACTCGTCATCAATTAATGCTTGCAAGTTGCAACTAATGCTTTAAACAACAGAGCACTAAAACTCACTGCATGACTCGATTTTATTCATTAGATACTAGATTCTGTGATTTTATACTTCAATTTCACACCGAAAACTCTGGTTCATAGTAGATTCAATTAATAGATCATACCTAATTATGATTAAAAAAAATCTTTTTAAAAGGTTGATTAGTTGAGAAGATTTGATTAAGATGGATAAACAATCACCAATCATAAAGCTTTGAGTTGTTATTTTTCTGATTTTCATTCCAAATCGGTTCCAAACTGCAGTAGTTATTTTGTCTGCTTTGAAGGTTATTTTTATTCATTTAGTCGTGTCGAAAGAGTTTGAAAATGAACAATTATGAGATAATCAAGAGTGAATATATAAAAATTTTAGGCCATTACGATTTCGGCTTCATTGTTTTTCCATCGTTGCAAAATAAGGTTTGAAATTGACAATCCAAAATTTTTCCTTAACAATCAATAGTCTCTGGTTAGTGAAAAATTAAATCACATTCAACTTTTTTAATTCCTACAAATGACTAGAACTTATTTTCATAAATTAAAAAGTCTTGAGTTAAAAAGTATCTTTATTTCAACTTAACATATTAATCCAACTTTTATACTGATGAAGTCTCTTCTGTTATCCTTACATGAATATTGTTTATAGTTTGCCCGTTAAAGTGAAATATTCGGATATTTTTAGTTAGTTTAAAGGAGGAGGACTAAAAGAATAAAGAAAAATGTATGGAAATAGATTTTTTTCAAAGTGCATTTTTTAGATGTAAAATGGGCTGAAAAATATCATGGTGCAAATTTTTTTTTATAACCGAAGCCGTTTTCGAGATAACGGCCTAAAACTTTTTCTGAAAAGTAAACTTCGTAAAACACATAGTTTCTGATGTGAATCAACATGCTGATCATGATTATAACGGTTATAATGGTTTTTTGTTAACATTTGTAATTGCTGAGATAACTTGAAAAAAGTAATGAAAAATCGAGAAACAACAGATTATGCTGTGAGATACATTCTGAATTCATGAACCACGATCAAAACACATTCATTCTATGCAGTTTTTGATTCTTTATCTACTAATGTTGATATGAAGGTATTTTCATCCTGATGAGTACATTCAAAATGGATCGTAATATTGTTCTATGGTGATTTATACGCGACAGTTAATGATAACACAAACTTTTAAACTTTTGCAATTATTTAATTCAGATCAGCGTTTTTTTAAACTTAGTTATGTTGTGGAAAAATATTTGTATTAATATATTTGAAAACGAATTATAAAAAAGTTTCATTATCCAAACGCTCGTTATCAGATCCATAATCGTCTATATCCGGCAATCAAATGTTTCGCAGGTATTGCAGGGTTTTGTTGCCAGCCAATCGTTGCATAATACAAAACTGCCATGATGTGCCCGCAGCACCCCATAGTCCTCCTGCCTTGGATGCAATTCCAGAAATATTCGACGATCATCTCACGTCCAGTTGCAAAAATATCGAGCAGGAAGTAACATTTATAAATTTTATGTGCACTATAATGCGATGGCACTTTGGTACGTACTAGTATCGGCTCTTCTAAGTCATCACCCCATCTACTTAGATCTAATTCAGCAGAATCTTCCCGGGATGCAAAAGAAAGTCTCAGTCTTTTTATTTCAACTTGATCTTGCAATTTAAATTCGGTCTTACATTTCCAATTCAATCTTACATTTCAATTCAATCTTACAATTTCAATTAAAAAATTTAATCCAAGCTTATAAATAAATAAAAGCAATAAAAGCTTCGTATTTAGTTTGCAATGGATGCGCAGAAAGAAATTCGAAAAAATGGCGTAAAAACCAGAAGGAGAGGAAAAAGAAAGAGATAAAAATGTTCAAGCTGGTCTGACTGCAAAAGGAGAAGCTGATCCCTATTTTGCAAAAGATATGGCGAGAAAAGCAAGGAAAGAAAAAATAGGAGCGCCAAAAAATTTAAGAAAAGTCTTGAAATATTCAAGCAACATTCATCTGTTGAATGCTAAAAAACTGAGGAGACCTGTCTCGGGCGTATTTAAGCTGAATCTATGAAAAATAAGGTGATCAAAGATTTCAAGGAAACACTAGCTGCTGCTGAAACACTTCAAGGGAAGAGCACTAAATATTAACTAAATAGTAATTTGACAGAGTCCAATTAATGTCTGTGAAAGATACTGTTACACATTTGTTGATCGGACTAAAAATGTTCAATTTTTATAATTTGTTTTGGTTTACAATGTAGTTAGAACAAACGAACTGTAAATACTGCTGGTAAAAGTAAAGTCCAAGCGTGATATCCAACCCGAAAAACTATTATAACTTGCTAATGCACTTTAATAGGTAGTAAAGTGGCATGAAAACATGAATTAGAGGTTTCAAGGTATGGCACACACGCCCGATCACATACGGTTTCCAGCAGTCAGAAACGATGTCCCTGCCGGGGGCAATGTGCTTTTTGAATATCAGAATGAGAGTATCCCGATCTCTTCTGTTGTCAGGACAAACCTCGAGACGAATTTTCCGAGTTTCATTATCAATCGCACCGAAGATGCACTCGCCCTCAACACGCTTGTCGCGGTTGTATCTCCTTCGGCCAAATTTCATCTCGTCGATTTTCCTAATTTCCCATCCCCTTCAAGTTGACCTGAATCCTCAAACAATTTATCTAAACGAAGCATACACACTTCTCTACAATATGAATAGATAACATCACAGTGGACATCGATATTGTAGGGTGGCCTATTTCGTTCACAGCATCATCCAAGTTCATGGTACGAGCGAAATAATACGTGAGCCGTAAAACATCCTCAGTCTATATATTGTGGGGTTCAAACCAAGTATCTTCGGCCAATGTCCTTTCAATGGAATGCTACATTCACCTAAGACAAAGGTATGTTTGAGCTCCCCTATATTCCCTCCCTGATAGGTTAAGAACCATTTCCTCTCTCCCATTCTTTGGACATTTTCTTCGTTTTGGAAGAAGTCCTACTGACTGACACCATTTGACGCAAGCCTTCCTTGAAACAAGAACCTCCGCAGCTAATCGCACAATATTCCGAAGCCCTTCAATGACAGCATCAGAGCTGCAAGAAACTCTTTTTAAAACTTGATTATATGTGTACCATAGCCCATGCATTGGAAGAAAAAGATTCCATAACTGTACGAAAACGATAAAAATTTAGTTTCGAACACCATTCTCTCTAAAACCAGAGAAACTTTACTACTGCCTTTTAGACTACATTTGCATGCTCTAGCCAAATCACCTAGAATCAACTCTGCACACAAATGTTTGTACATATATTAAACAAAGTAAAGTAGACGAGTGACGATAGACGAGAGAAAATGAGTAAAATTAGAAAAATAATTTACCGAATTTTTGACCACTTTTGGGATAAAATGGCGATTAATAGTGGATGCGTTAGAGGGTATAAAAATGGTCGAAAATTCGGTATGATTTGGGTGGTGGATAATCTTATAAAAATTGTTTGAGAATGTGGTGGAGAAAAGCTGGTCCCGAAAATAATAATAGAAGTCGATACCTCAAATAAGCGATATACATTGATACAGATTTTTTCGATACTTAAAATTCTTTGCACCATTTTTTAAACAAAAAATCACTTCAAAAAATATTTTTAATCCAAACAACCTTCTAATATTGAGCGATATGATACAATGCGTCGTTATCACCGGTTTTTTAAAAATTGATCACGATCAAATTTTACTCTCCGATTATCGATGTTTTCGCTCGATCAATCATATCGGAACAACTCTAATTTCAGCTTCACTTTCAAACAAAGAGTAAAGGAAGAAGAGAGAGCAATTCAATATATAATCTAACCGAAAATTTTTTTTTGGTGTCAGAAGATGGCGCGAGAAAGAGACTCTTTCTTTTTACTTTCTTCACAGATTTTTTACTCTCTTTTTCTCTATCATTTCTCTTTCTTTTCATCATTGAAATTTAAATTAAAGCAATTAACATCAACATTAGAAAAGGCTTTTTTGATTGTTTTTCAATGTTTTTGATGTTATTTTTATTGATTTTGATGATTTTGATGCTATGATTTCTTATTTAAAGATGAATGCATGATAATTTAACAGAGAAACGTCACTTTGACTAACAAAATCTGAATTAATCAAAGCAAAAGTCTATCAAAAAGTATTTATCATCATTATATTAAGGTTTTGGGACTATTTTTGTTTACGACAAACTTTTCCTGTCAATAAATTCTGGATTTATTCTTTTTAGTGCTTAGATTCATAATATAAAGTAAATTTGTTAACTGATAGATCTGTCCAACATTATAGCAACGACAAGTTATTCACCATTTACTTATGTGAAGGTGGATTCCCGTAAAATCTATGAATTCAGAATTTATTAACAGAATAACC